TTTCGGTTGGCTCATTCAATGGCTCCCTGAATGACCAGCCATTTCACTCAGTCCTGGATGCCCCTGGCATATCTCCGAGGGAAAACGAGGTCTCACTGGATGGAATGGATTACCCTTGTTTTGAAGAAACTCGGATTCATACAACCAGTTTTCATGGTATCCCATTCATATACAGTAGCCAGTTTTCAATTTTATAGGTACCCTATAACCAGAATTGTGTTGCTTAAAACAGCGTAGTTTTCATGTCTTGGACAGCCGACTTTTCGTTTTGCCGCTGGGCCAAAGATCCGGTAAAAAAACCCTAGGGTATCGGATCATCAACCTGACCATTGCGCCAGAAGACTGGACCCCTGGGTCATATTCAACGGTGAAGCTATGGTGAAAATCATGTTCCTAAGATAGTAACATAGATTGGACAACCTGCCATGTGTATCATTTTCAACCGTTGGTTTTCCATTTGTGTTCCATAACATATCTTTTTCCTTGTTTGTCTTGATGCTTATGATTTTTAGATATTTATAACATATATTCGAATCTGGGTTATCACCCCCAAACATATTCCCATGGATATTTCGAGTGTTGTGCACATGGAATCCTCGGAGATGGTTTGCAAATCATATGGAATCATGTTTTTTGTTCTCGTGGATATCATGGGAATTGGTATTCAATGATACCAGTTTGGTAGTTCATGGTCGTTTTTTAAGGGGGACAATTTTAGCTGGTACCAGTTGTGTATTCAATAAAGGCATATTCATGGAAACACCAGCTTTTGGATCTTGAATCTTGGCACGTTTTGGTCCGGGCTTTGGGGGAAAGATTTCTGGAAGTCGGTGCGTGCTGCGTCCAGCTGGTGTTCTGGAAGACATGGTTTGGAACATCGATATTTTTACCTGCGTTCTTGTAGGTTCGGAATTTCCCTAATGTGTCAGTTCCATTGGGAATTGGATTGTGTTGGGTTTTCCCCTTTTGAAATTTGGAGATGTGGTTGTGCTGCTGCTGTTGCTGCTGCTTACCTTCCCACTACCGAGCTGCGTGCGCCACAAGGGGTTGCACCTGTATCTTTGGTTGGTCGCTTCACTTTGACTGTAGCTGTGGTGAAACTTGCGTCCCATTGCGTTTTTCAACAAAATCATTTAAAATAACCTAAAACAATGACTGCATAGATGCAGCGTCCACAATATGATTGCTAATTTTAGAGCCAATAAAAAACACCAAACATTAAACGAAATAGATGATTGCTGGCGCACAGCGTCCCATGCTGATTTGCATAATTTTGCACTGACTTTCCCGACTGGGTGTACCCCAAGAATTGAGTCAACATTGGGGTTCAGACACACCCAAACAGTGCATGGTTGGTCAAGTATTATCCCATTGTGGTATATCATATCCATTGAACAGTTATATAATTGTTGGTTCAAACCCAGGTTAAACCAACATGTTTCACCAGTTTTCATGATAAGCCAACATGTTTCACCATTTCAGTTGGTTATGATGGTTATTTGTTTTTTTTTGTGGCTTTCAATCACCAGGTTTTAACGAACAAATCACCATATACTTGGGCCATTTTTTGGCTGTTGAACTCCGAAGCCAAGGACTCTGATGGCGGGTACTCAAAACCACGTCTATGTTTGGACCACGGAAGACTTCAGGTGTCGAGCTGCCTTCGAAGGCATCATAAAATTTGAATATGTATATATATATATATATCAATTATATATATATATATATGTTATAAGTTATATTATATTATATATATACTATATATTATATATTATGTATATTCCTGGTTGTAGCTTGCCTCCGTGATCCCCCTGATCCCCATTCCAGGCAGTGGACCAGGGTGGACCGCATTTTACATCACGGAAACTGTTGGGACTTGGTGCCTCGGCTCAACGTTTGGACATCATCCAAATGGTTGCTGATATAAATTAGTAATACCCTCTGGTAATTTAACATAACTATGGAAAGATCCACCATTTTTAATGGGAAAATCCACTATTTCTATGGCCATTTTCAATAGCTATTTTGACATAACCAGAGGGTAATAATCTTATAATAACCCACCAACTAGGGGTATTTTATTATCGCTTCTATAAATGGGGTATTTTATTATCATTCTATAATCAACCAACTATAGTTGCGTTATGAAATATTATGAAGTGGGGAGCCGTTTGGAACTAGAATTAGAGTTTCCCAACCACACGAGAGTAAGAAACAAACATGCTGATTGAACATGGTGAAAGAAACGTGTATTTTGCCAAGACATAATCATTGAGGGTGTGTTTGTTTAAACATTTTCTGTGATATGGGGGATATGCACGGGTACAATGGAGATATGTTGGGATATAATTGGATATAAGGGGATACAGAGTGATTACAATTGCTGCCAACAATCTGAAATTGAGGGGACTGTTCATTGAAAGTGACCATGTCAAGTTGATGAAACCGTCTTCCAATTTTTCAGGGGACTATCTGAGAATTTCGCTACCGACAGAACAGCCATAAATTTATACAGTAATTGGCAGGCTCTCAAAAATTTAGAATCGTAATAATTATTACATAAAGCTAGGTATGCCCCCCAAAATGGCAAATGTAATAGGAAAGATCATGATAACCAATCGATTAGGGGATACCCTATGCATTTGCAAATTTTCGCCCCCCATTTAACTGTGGCTGCAGCCTCAACGTTTGCCCGACGGACGGATGATATAGTGGTATTTTCTGAGCATGAACAACTTGTTTGTTTGTAAACAGTCAATGGATTGGTTTAAGGGGAAATCTACAGGAAAGCCCCATATTTCATGGGACAATTCGATGGTTTTCTGGTTCGATTTTCCCTTAAAACCAATCCATTGAAACAGATGAACGATTGGTGTGCGTGCGTCATTTCTTTTTACAGGACGATTACCTTGGCAATGGGGTAAACGAACAAGACAATGTGGAAAACCCATGGTGGGTAGGCTCGGTGAGCTCCACACCTATGGCAATGTTTGGCCGATTAAATGGTGGACCTGATCCCACAATTTGTCAAATTTGGTCAACCCTGGATGGATAGTAGTACATTTGTTTACGAACAAAAACATGGGGAAATCTAACCAGATCTAACCAGCAACGCATTTTACTGTTAACTTGTATCATCTTGTATCTAAGATCGGCCCGTATCATCCCTGTATTATTTTTTTGTGCACCGGGGCAATGTCTGATGGTTGCATATACAAATCCTGTTCTGGTGCGTGGTTTCATTTCAACCTTAAACATGCGATGATGATCCAGGATGACTTTGCCTTATTTTTCAGGGGGTTGGCTCAACCACAGACCAGATTTCATGGGTGATTTCATATGACCAGTGCCCAAAATACCAACCAGTGGATTATGGGGTTCGTCGCTAGTTAGTTTTTTTCCTGTTGAGGATCAATATGACCTGGTACTGGGAGCCCTTTATCATCCAATATCGTATTGTCGTCGGTGCACAATGACGTTCCTTAATTTTCCTGGAAGTATCATCAGAATTATCCTACCCAATATTATCATATATGAAACCATATGAAATCATATGTGAAAATCATATATTCCCAGTATTATCAGTCAGAAATCATATATGAAATCATATGAAACCCACAAGTTCTCAGTTCTCCTCTCTGTTCGACAGGCCTATCTGGGCAACGACCTGTGGGCCGCGGCTAGTGAGATGGAGGCATCGAGATGCAGGATCTGACCAGCCTATAGGAGATATGAGATCTGAGATATAACATGATATAACTATAGGAAGTAAGACTATAACAATGTTATAACTATAACTATAACTATAACTATAACTGGTAACTATAACTATAACTGTATCATCAACTATAACTATAACTATATCTATAACTATAACTGGTAACTATAACTATAACTGTATCATCAACTATAACTATAACTATAATTGTATCAACTATAACTATAACTGTATCATCAACTATAACTATAACTATATCTATAACTATATCTATAACTATATCTATAACTATAACTGGTAACTATAACTATAACTGTATCATCAACTATAACTATAACTATATCTATAACTATATCTATAACTATAACTGGTAACTATAACTATAACTGTATCATCAACTATAACTATAACTATATCTATAACTATATCTATAACTATAACTGGTAACTATAACTATAACTGTATCATCAACTATAACTATAAATATATCTACAACTATATCTATAACTATAACTGGTAACTATAACTATAACTGTATCATCAACTATAACTATAACTATAATTGTATCAACTATAACTATAACTATAACTGTATCAACTATAACTATAACTGTATCATCATCACCATGTTGGTTTAACATGTTCGCTGCAACCCTGACGTTGCGCCGCGTCTGACTTCAGGTGGCTATGAAGGAAAAGTTGATGTCATTACTCCAATCAACATATTGTTCATAGGGGGTGGCGAATTTTGATCCCTCATGAAGATAAAGTTGATGTTCTTACCCCAACCAACATATTGTTCATAGGATAGTTGATGTTAATACCCCAATCAACATATTGTTCAGAGGGGGTGGCAAATTTCGACCCCTCATGAAGACAAAGTTGATGTTAATACCCCAATCAACATATTGTTCAGATCCGGTGGCGAATTTTGACCCCTCATGAAGACAAAGTTGATGTTATTACCCCAATCAACATATTGTTCAGAGGGGGTGGGGAATTTTAATGTGATGATGATCATGATGTGATGATGTGATGATGTGATGGTGGTGATGATGATCATCATCATCATGATCATGACGATTGTAAGTGTGGAGCAACGTCCGGGTTGGGGCGAACTGTTTTAACCATAACTCCCGCTCCGGTGTTCCGGATCCGCAGGTGGTAACGCTCTACCACTTCGATGGCGCCTTGAAAGCCTTGAAGACACTGGGGGTGACTTGGGAAATCGTGGTGACGGCGACCGAGTGGGAAATCTGGGGGAGTTTTCGAGTTGGAGGTTTCCTGGGGTCATGGGGGTACACCCAAATCATCCATTTTCGATGGGGATTTGTCATGATTTTCCATGATAAACCAACCATTGTGGGGGATCCCCCATTTATGAACACCCCCAAATGGAGGTGTCCAAAGTCATGACCCCAATGTCACCCAAACGGCAACCTCCATATGGAAAAGCGTCAGAGAGAAACCAAATGGGTTTTCAGTGAAAACCATGGAAACTGATAGCACACCAAGCTGACCACTTTTTTTGCAAAACATGGGCCTGTGTGAACATGGGGCACCCCTAAATCCATTTGTTCATCATGATTGCTGGCCCCCCGTTTTCAGCCTGAGTAAGACTTAGTTGAGTAGGTTAGAATATGTTAGAATATTGTTTTGTTGTAACTGAATGAATTGTACGATGTAACCAACGTATTTTTTCTCCGTGTCTCAAAGATTGGCTATGCCGCAATTGTTGGTTGACACTACCATGATATTATATGAACAATCGCAATATGCATGTATGATTATTATGTGACTATGTATATAATATATAGTCATCTACAGTCATATATATATATTCATAAATAGTTATATATAATTATTATTAATCATACATAATGTTTATTATGATATTTGATTATGTGTGAGTCTATATGATTCTATATGCTTATATTATATATATATATGAATCTGTATGATTATATATGATTATATATGATTAATATCTGATTGTATGTGATTGTATATGATTGTATATGATTATACGTGATTATATGATTGTATATGCATGGCCTTGCTCGTTTTGCAGTGGCCCATCGATCATAGCACAGCAAATTATTGATGGATCGTGCCGATGCCCGGGGACGGGAGTTGCGCACGAGTGCCAAATGGATCGGGCCCGACCAAAGTTGGGTTTCGCGCGCCGCAAGCATATGACAACCACCAGCTGCATTTCCATGCAGGGGGCCTCACTCCATTCCATGACCCTATTGATGTACCGAAGTTGGAGGTACACGCCTTTTCTGGATCTTCTTGCAGGAACCGCAGGTTTGCTTGTAGTTTGAACCGGCTGGCGGGTTTTTGATGATAAGGTTTGCCCTCTTTGACCTTATTGATCTTATTGCCCAAAATTGGACGATAGCCACTCACTGTTACCAACTCATTATGCTGTATTGTTGGTTATACATGGTTTCATCATATGTGTCCCTATTCAAAATTAGGTAGAGCCATATTTCTGGATCATGCTGGTGTATACCCCATTAGCCCATAGTCCCTGGATGATTGTGTCGCTGTGCAATCTAAGGTGAAAGGCCCTGCGTATGCCGCTTGTCAAGTTTGAGGAAACAGGAGGGCTAGAAACAACTTCAAGAACTGAAAGGCGTTCCTTTGTGTTTAGCAGTCCCCAAGTGTTGCACCCATATTTGTACCTAAACACAACAGATACTAGTACATGGAGCATCATACAACATATATTCACACATGTATTGTTTTTTTTGGTCAGATAGATAGATAGATAGATAGACAGATAGATAGATAGATAGGTGGATAGATAGATAGATAGATAGACAGATAGATAGATAGATAGATAGATTAATTAGATAGATAGATAGATAGATTCGATGGATAGATAGGTAGATAGATAGATAGATAGATATAAAATAACTATACACATATATATATGTATGTAATGTAATGTAATGTAATGTAATGTAATGTAATGTAATGCAATGCAATGAATGCAATGTAGTGTAATGTAATGTAAGTATGTATGTAATGTAATGTAATGTAATGTAATGTAATGCAATGCAATGCAATGTAATGCAATGTAATGTAATGTAATGTAATGTAATGTAATGTATGTATAGATAGATAGATAGATAGGTAGATAGATAGATAGATGGATAGATAGACAGATAGACAGATATAGATAGATATAGATAGATATAGATGGATATAAATAGATATAGATAGATATAGATAGATATAGATAGATATAGATAGATATAGATAGATATAGATAGATATAGATAGATATAGATAGATATAGATAGATATAGATAGATATAGATAGATATAAAATTACTATATATATATATTTAGATATATAGATACACTAGATAATATGCATATCACATCACATCATTATGCAACTATGATAATTATTCATTTTGTGTTTGCCAATGAGTATGTTGTCCTGTTGGGGATACTGTATCCTGTGTTTTGAAGATAGCACTTTAGTGGAGTTGGCCTTTCCATGTTTTATTTGAGGCAATGAGTCCAAAGTCTGCCTAGGCTTGGTGAACTTTTGTTCAGCAGGTCAGAACATTGACTTCATATGACTGAATTGTTGCAAAAAAACAATCTCCGAATATATCCGAACCACCCGAAAAGAACCAATCAAACAGACTTGTAATATACCAACCACCTGAAGAACATGAAAAAAACACAGGGCCAAGATCGGCCATGATCTATATATATACACAGTAGATTTATCTATTTTTTTTTGCAGGGCCAAAATCTGGCATGCTGAAAGTCTTTCCATGGCTCAGATGGGCCAAGGCGTTGAGCCCTCTGAGCGGATCGTTACTGGTGGTCACGGATTTTTACCTTCACCTCTTTCAGGCCATGGATCCCGAGTCCGAGTTATTGGGGCACCCCCAAGTTATTGGGGAAACCCCATCCAAAAAAAAACACATGGGAAAATTCTGGATCATTTAAATTTTAAACCGCCAAAGATGGCCATCTTGAAAGGGAACATCATCTTCCAACACCATTTTGTGGGGGTTCCATGTTGGTTTCTTAGGTCTTAGGTGTGTAAAATGAAAACGGTGTATCATCATGGTTTTCACTTTACAAATGCACGCCTTTATGATGAGAGATTCATCATTTTTGGACCAACCCAGGAGGGTGTTGATCCCATTTTATTTCTGGTGAAGCCATTGGAAACTGCATCATTCATATCATTCCTTGTTGTTCACCATATTTTGCCAGCTATAAATTCTATGTAAAGAAAGGTCATAAATGTTTATCTGGTTGCTAGGCATATGTAGGCTCAAAAATCCTTAAGTACCTCTGATGTTTTTTCCAACACTATCAAATACGTTCTGTTTTTTAACACCCAGGTTTACGAATGTGTTTAATGTGTCTCATGCTTTAAAAAAATGGTAAAGCAGTCCAGGTTTTACTTGGTAGTTCGCCCCAAAAATCGTGTGTCGGTTCGCCCCAGTGAAATAACTGGCCGAACCTTAGCCGTAGCCTAGTTACAACTGGGGTTATAACATGTTATAACCTGTTTGCAAACTGGAGTGAACCACTAATTCTACTGGTTGAAAGGCATTTGCTGGGTCACCCCAATCTTCAGAAGGCCTGGACGACCTATATAGAAAAAACTGGCTGGTGACTTCTTTAGGTTTCTGTTGGACCAAAAATCACCGAACACCCTACACGAATGCCAATGTACAGCAGCAGCAGATCTTGTTAGATGCAAGAAATCGATCCTTTTAGCATCCTCTTTCAAGGCAGCGCAAGCAGCCTTTGCAGCAGTTGCAAACCATGAAGACAATCGCGGAGGACACAGGTCGTTGCATGGATGGCCTGTTTGGATGCAGCACCCTGGAAGAAGCTCTTGCCCGGGCAACTTCCGATGCTTGGGCTGATGACAGTAAGCCGCTTCACAGTGCTGCATTTAGGAAAATGCGGTCGGAGGCTCGGCAGGGCTTCTGGCACGATCCACCCCCAGATGCGGTGGCATTGTCAAAGAAGATGCAGAGTGCCGCTGGAAGCACGGAGAATTTCTTATGAATGGCTGACCGGCGCAGAGGGCAAGGCATGGCGTGAAGAGCGGGATGCAATGTTTAACTCGCATGCAGATTAAGGGAAAATGTACGTCATTCATTCCCTTCTGGGTTTACCACGCAGAATGGTGGGTTTCAATGGCGATTCAACATAGTCTTGGAATAGTACCATATTGATCCATATTGCGGTAATTTGGTGATGTTGTGGTGGCGCTCCAAACTGTTGGGGTGCCATTTCAAATCCAATATTTGCCATTTACTTACTTGCCTGAGAGGTTTTCCCATTTCGTTTCACCATTTTTTCATGTCATTTTTTTGGTGCTCTTGTTTGCTTTTCACCTGTTTCACATTGCCTGATGTTTGAATTTTATTGGAGGTGCCAAACGGGCACTTGTCCAGGCAGGATTTAACACGACTCCTGAGAATTTAATGTAGCGTGAACAGCATGTTTCCTTCCTTGTGCCTTGGCAGCAGGGGAAAAAACAGTATATCCATGTATATCCCAATTGTTTCCCATGATATACGTATCAAACTATCACCATTTTTGTTGTTGAAACTACCACGTATGGATGAAACATGATGAACATATACCCTCCGGTAATCAAACATAGTTTGCCGGAAGATCGGCCATTGAGTTCGATGAATTTGCTGGCTGGAAACGTCCATTTAGTTCGGGGATGTTCCCGCCTGCTACATTTGATTAGCGGAGGGTATAAAGATATCTTCCATTGATATCTAATTGATATCTCATTAACATTCCATATATATATAATACATATATATATATATATTGTTACCATGTTTATATTCCATATATATATATATACATATATATATCCCATTAATATTGTTACCCATTAACATTCCAGATATATCCCATGAATATTCCTGTGTATAAAGATGTGATATTTCCCCATGTATCCATTGTTTTGCTGCAGGCAGAAGCGTTGGACCCTGCGCTGCCTCTGAATTTCTCGGCGGCAGAGCGGCTTGGTCAACAACAATATCTCACCGAGAACAACGGAGATTTCAATAAGAAAAACATGGGATTCAAACCGCACAAAAAATAGCCAACCACAAATCCAAATTTAGTCATCAAACATGGTCACAAATGGGTTTGTAAGTTTTATATATAACTATTGGTTTAGGTTAACACATGTTAAAACCTACGGGCCCAATATACATCCAGCAAAATCCCAGCTATTTACAATTTTTTTGGGTGAACAGAAGGGTACCAGTTTTTTCTTGACCCATAGCCAAATGAGGACATCATGAGTTGTTCCGAAAATCTTTGAAACTTAAAACATTGGGAAGGTGAAGGAACAGAAGGGTTATACGATGTTATACGGTTACATTAATGCCGAATGCTCAATGAGCATCTAAAGAATCTACTCTCCGTTGTCATCAGACACGGGCGGAATGACTCAAACCTTGCTTGAACAAAATCACGAAGAATCCACCTTTAGTCTGATGTTTTTCCCAGTAAACTATACTATAAAAGACTCCATTGTAGGGATTTCCCAGCCCTGTTTGACTACCGATTTGGGTCGTTATTTTTCTCCGAAATCATGGCCTGACCGTCGCCAACTATCCAGTGGAGCCATAGCCGTAAGATATGGAGGTTTCCGAAAAAATGGTACCCCCAAATCATCTACCCTCTGGTTATTTAACATAGCCATGGAAAATGGCCCATTTATAGATGATTTTCCCATTAAAACCTCCATTTATGAGGGATTTTCCATGGCTATGTTAAATAACCAGATGGTATTTATAGATGGTATTTTCCCTTACCATCCAGCTATTGGGTACCATATGGTACCATAATAAAGGAAACCCCTCCTGATTTGGATTGAACATTGGAGACACATACACAACTCAGAACGTTTCTTTAGCGGCCAGCGAGTCAGGTAGATGTCAGCTGCATGGATCATATAATAGGTAAGCGGCCAGTTCACTCCAGATGCTGGTTTTCTATTCTGGATTCCACTTCATTTTTGGGGGAGCATGTTTCTATATCAGTCATATCAGGTCATGTCTACAATATATATATATACATATAATACAGTATTATATATAATTATATATATATATATATATAAATATACATGTACAGTACAGGTATACATGTATCAACCCTCCCATGGCTGATTTTTTAGAGCACCAGTCCCGGTGCGGAAACCCTCCGGATCATCCCGGGAGGATCATGGGACTGGTTGATTTCTTTTTGGCCCAACTATAGATGGTCAATTTGGCTCAAACGGCTGACCAAGAAAATGGATCATTTGGATAATTTGGACAAACTATAGACTGTCAAAAGCTACCAACACTATAATTTGGCTGTCCCTCAATTTTTTGCCGATTTGTTCAGTGTCGACACAGCCCAAAAATGATGGGGTTTCCAGCTGAGTTGACCGATTCGCCAAGGTTGCCGGTGAACGGTGTGAATAGCCCGCCACCGGCCAATAGCATCAGCATTGTTGAGACTTGGATCCAGAGATGGATGGCTTATGCCTGTCAACCATGGAGTATAAATCAAGTTTTGCTTGGAGCCCTGAGATCCGATTGCATGGTTTTGCTGTCCATCACTTGCTGGATTTTGTTGGTGATGACCAGACCTAAGCCACTTGAACTCATCCGGTAAACCGGTAAACCACCAAGTGTTGGGTCAAAAAATCAGCCCCAAAAAAACACAGGTTTTAACTTAAGTTGACCTTTTTGTTTTGGTTTTTTCTTTTCCCATAGTAGATGTTTTTACTAAGTGACTAAGTAGATGTTTAACAAAAAACAACTAGATGTTTAGTATTAAGATGTACCCTCTGGTAATTTGTTACATAGCTATTGAAAATTGCCATAGAAATAGTGGATTTACCCATTAAAAACAGTGATTTTCCATGGTTTTTTGTATGTTTACCAGAGGGTATTAACCATCAATTTGGGGGTACTCAATGACTTGACCCATCCCCAAGTACCTTCCGTACCCCGCCGAGGGCAACGCCATCTTGGTGGGCCTGGAACTCTACAGGTGCCGTAGGAACCACTACCCCAATAGCTGGATGGTTTAAGTGGAAAATCCCAATCGAAAATGGCTGGATGATTTGGGGGGGTACCATTTTTTTCGGAAAGCTCCGGATTGGAATCCAGATAATCGGAATCATTGGATTCGCCATATATTTCTTGGGAGAGTTGATGAGAAAAACATCCACGCTTAACTTGATGTATGTTGTGTTTGTTGGAATCTCGGGTGAAGCCATTCAGGATCATGGGAACGGAAAAGCCGCATCTTTTCGTCATCTTTTTGGTGTCAAACTATGATCTTTTGTTTGAGATTTACCAACCAGATAGATCCAAATAGTGTTTTATGTGATATTTAAATACTATTTTTTTCACAGAGAGGTTCATCATTTTGATCCCTAGCCACATTGGCTGAGAACATGACCCGAAGCAAGCTGGAAACCAAGCTGGACCCCTGCAAACTGGCTGGAAAGTGGCTCTTGTGGCTCTTGTGGCCAGTTTTTGTACAAGATGCTGGAAGGTCATCCGACCTCACTAGTTGTTGGATGAATTTGGCATAAGTTGTTGGTTTCTGAAAGTCTGAAAGGATTGGAAACCAATGAAAAGATTGGGAGTGCACCGGGAAATCGAGCGGCCAGAGTCCAAATACGACCAAGTTGAAACTCCAGAGGTTCCACAGGGGGCCCCCAATCGGCAAATTGGTTGTCTTTATCTGTGGTCTTTAAGTCACATGTCGATGGTGGAGATATGACTCCAGTTGGATGGCCCAATGGCCAAGAAGAACTGGCCGAAAAAGTGGCCGCGACCTTGTAGATGGTGCAATACCAATTCATGGTTGACATTGTGACTACCAGGCTACCAGTGATGAGAAGTGATGCTAGTTAGTAACTAAGTACCAGTTAGTACCCTGAATACTCTAACGATACCTAACGTAGATGTGGAAAACCTATGGTTCCCCTATAGATTATAGGAAAATGATCTACAAATGATGGGTTTTCCACATCTATGTTAGTTTACCTCAGGGTAAGTAGCTATGGCTATAGCCATAGTTGTGTCTTTTCAGTCGGGTAGTTAGTACGGTTCCCCTTCTTAGTGAACAATAACCATCGTTGTCACTGAACTACTGGATATCCATAATTACCATCTGGTAATTTAACACGGCTATTGAAAATGGGCCTTTATAGTTGATTTATCTATTAATTAAACATGATGATGTTCCCTTGCTATGTTAGTTTACCAGAGGGTAAATTATACTGCATGCTTAACTCACCAACGTTGAGATTCCTGGGTCACAGATACAAGTATCAACCAATGGTCAACTGATGGTTAGGCTAGGAACATTGGATTCCCGGATTCCTGCGATTGGACCGTGATAATCCTCCAAATGTGATACTCCCCTTTCATCAGTTTCATCGGGTTTTCTTTTTTGTTTCCTTATCTGGTTCTCCCCAGATATAACGTGAAATCGATATGAAAGTGAGAGATGCCATAAACCCATGGGCCTCCCAAGAGAATCAGCCAGTAGACAAGGGGCCCATGACTTGAACTTTGGGTCCTTTGGGTCCTTGGGAGGCCCCGCAATCCAGATGCGGAATGTGCACAGGGCACATATTCTCCGTGCCTCGGAAAACCACCTCCGAAAGAGACCGGATTGGGGGTTTGAATCGATACATTTTACAAGGAAGTTATTGGGGGTCAATCATGGTTCATAGTGATTGATAATGGTTGATAGCGGTTAAAAACATGTTAAACATACCTTTTTTTGGGGGGGGACAACTATGGGATTCTAAGGCCCAGAAGTTGGGATGTGGAGCCCCTATGAGCCCCAAGTTACTTGTGACTTTCTTGCATGGCTGATGCAGCCAGATCTTGATCTGTGGGGAAAATCGTCTGAACATGGATAGATGCCCACTAAACTTAATGTGGAACCCAGCATTTCTGCAACATCCAGGACTCAAATCAGCTCCAGGTTCCAGGACTAATTTGGAGGCTGTGGTGGAGTGACCAATCTCATATTATCCCTCTAAGCAACGACATGTATCCTGAGCAGTATCTCGGCTTATTTGCAATTTTGACCCATTTGGCTGGTGAGAAAATGTTCAAGGCTCATACAAAGTGATGCCGAGCTAAGTCAAGTTGGTTTATAAACCCCACTAGCTGCTATAGGTACGTATGATACGTACTTCGTCACCATAAACCCAGCAGATAAGTTAGTCGTAATTAGTCATTATATAAATCACTAGTTCTAGAATTCCAAAAAACGTTGATCAACTGTCGGTAACTATGGAGCTATAAACATCTATATAGTCTATATATAAACCAACTTAGCTCTCGTAAATTGCATATCAGTTGCATATCGCTGGTTGAGTCACCATTTCGGGCTGGTCATGGCTCACCTTCCGCAAGGCCCGGCGCCTTCGAGTGTCGGCTTTGCCCAGATGGATGGACGTCCTTTGGGGCGGCAGGCGGACAAAATGCTGGAGTTTCATAGGCTCTAACTGATATGGGGATGGGTCAAAACCCTGTACCCCTGGTGAACCCCAAAATAGCTGGTAAATGGATGTTCATCCCACTAAAAATGGTATTAATAGGTATTGATCCATTCCCATATCTGGATCTGGTTGGTGGTTTGGAACATTTTTTTATTTTCCATAAGATGTGGGATAATCTTTCCCTTTGACGAATATTTTTCAAGATGGTTGAAACTTAAAACCACCAACCAGGGATATATGGGTATATGATGGTATATGCAGTATGCAATGGTGAGATATTAGATATGTGGGTCTGCAATGGTGATATATGATTTGATATGCAGCCAATATCTGGATATACTCCTGGATTAGAGCAACTGATAACAGGGTTTGAACATTTGCAGCTATGGTCTTATCGCAATAAGCACATCCAAAAGCTACGGCCTCGGTTCTTTTTTCGCCAGGCAGTTGTTCGTATCCAAACGGCGACACCCTGCTGTTCATGATTAAGTTACTGGTATGAATCTAGCTCAACGCGGCCGTTGTGTTGAGGTATTGTTGGCCTCACTTTGGATGGGTGAATACCGTCGTGAATGGTGATCGAATCAGATTGAAGCATCAAACATATGGACAGACCTTGGAGAAGATTAGCTTGGTGCATTTTGTGATTATGTTCATAGAAATCAATGAATGCAAATATAGACAATTCCAGGATTTCCAAGCTAAACAACGGCCAAGTCTTGTGGTGAACATCTCTGCCGACACTTGGATGACCAATAATCACAGTGCATAAGCAAAAGACGTAATTATTTTGTTGAACAAATATAGCGCATTCCTACTAGATAGAACATTTTAGTACTCAAAAACCATGTTTCTCTTGAGTACTAAATCAACCACAATACAGATACTGTGACTGGGTTTGCATCCGTGCAAGAAATGAGTAACAACTTCTAGAAATGGGACGGGATATGTAATTAATCAATACTAATCAGAGATGAGAGATGGGTTACAGAAGAAAGCTTTGAACATGATATGGATTTGACCAAAAGTGGGGTTTACCCCCAACTGGCAATTTTAATGGGGAAAACAGGGATCATCCATCAAATTTGAGGATGTTTTAGGTACACTATTTTCAGACAAACCCATAATATAGACAATGCCCGTCTTGTTGTTTCAGGCCCCATCGTCTTTTATCACGACGGAAACTCCAGGTTCAGGTCCAAAATCTCCCAAAATAGTGGTTGTTTTGGCCATCGGCTGACTCGCGGCCCCACCAGGGTTCAATCTTTGCTACTAGTATACTTGGATGCTATGCAAGGTATGATTCGGTCATGGTACGGCGGGGTGGGGTGGAGTGGGGTTAATACCGTCCCTTGGCACTTGCACACTCACGTAATGCTACGTTAGAGATGGGATGGGGTGGGGCGGGGCCGGGTGAGGCTAATAACATTCTTGTGCTCTGCGTTTTGGTTTAGATGCTACGCTAGCAGATGTTCCATGCTACGGTAACAGAACATGTTGCGACGCTTGCGCATGCCTTAGATGCTACGCTAGCAGATGCTTCCAGTGGAGGCATAATGCTTGTGGCAGAGTTGATAAAATATACTTCGCAGCCGAGCCGTTTGGGCAGGTGATGTGTTTCCCAACGCGATCAAAAAATGATAGCTTTGCCTTAAAGAAATACAATGTTGTTCATTTTGAATTGGACCACGCAGTGCAAAATGATGCTATTGAAATGAATTCCAACGATGAAAAATGGAAAAGCAACACTGCGTTTGATCTTGAGGATGAAGAACAAGATATCGACAGTTGCAGTGCGGCAAGACAGCCGATTCAGTTGTTTTTCACATGGATTTCCAGTTTATGGATGTTTATGGATGTTTATGGATTGTAGCTATGACAATCCCAAGTTTATGAAAGACGTAGTTTCATCAGCAACTCCAAAACAAATGGAAGGTTTGGGTACGCCCTTGGGAAGGTAATTGCCTCATTCCTTAGAGGAATATTCCAGCAACCCACCATTTGGTGGTCAGGTTGGGGGATACCCCGCGCCCACTAGCACAGGTAGAATAAAAAAGGAACATACTGTAACATACTAGGAATTTGAGGGGAAGCCTCACATAACAGAAACATGGGATGGTTTATATTAGTTATATAAAGTTATAGAGTCTTGGGCATTCTGGGGCCCTTGGTTTTATCTTATTACCACGTTTCGTTTAGTTATGTATAGCTGTTTCTTAGTTGAGTTGGGTACGATCATCAGAAACTTCATCGGATCATGAGGGGTGTTGTTGCTGTTGCTGTTGCTGTTGTCGTTGTCGTTTTTTCCCCTCAGTTGTCTGGGTTTAGGAACCAGTTACAGATGCGTTGTCATAGATTCAGGCGGCGCACGTATGAGATATGAACAGCCAAAACGGATGGTTTTGCGCAACTAGGGGAGTAGCTGACAGAAACTACAGTATGAATGGGACTTCATGCCGCACATGTTGCTGTACATATATATATATATGTTTAATACCAACACAAACGAACTATATTTCATATAAATCACTTATTGGAGACATTTGCAGAGTATGTAGCCTCTGAGCCATGACATCTCGTAGTAGGTTCCTGTAAAACACCCCATTTTGAGACAAATCCATATGGGGATTTCCTGAAAATACTCCATATTATTTTATATATGTATTTTTCACCCATGGTGACTCCCCCATATGGCCAGTCATATAGCTAGACTAAATCAATCCTCAAAATTAGTGTTTAGCAGTTTAACTTCTAGTTTCTTACAGCTAGAGAATTCCAGGTGGCCAAGGTTGCTTTTTCTAGCACTTTTGGTCTTCGTTTGGATGGTCCCGCAACTCCTACGACGCTTGATGAAGATGTCCAACGTACCTGGGTATGAAAGATTCAGTGGGGCAAAGTCATGCACCAGGCAGGGATCAAATGGGATTCCTATGAAACATCATAATAATATTATAATGGGAATATTCTGTATATATATAATTATATGGCATTCTAAGGGGATAATAACAATGGAATTCTTATAAATAACCGGATTATAATGGGATATGATAATGGGATGATCATGGAATTATAATTGGATTTATATAAATACCATTCAATTATAGATGATTATAATCGGATCAATCATCTACCAACTGCAGGATTTCGCAACCATCCACAGTTGCATGATGTTTTTCTGTTTTTCTTCTTCGAGGGGAAGTGTTTTCCGGGGGAATTGCGTGGTCTTGAGTCAAGCAGCGATAAAAGATGTTTGATGAAGCCTGCAGGGTTGGTTTTAGGGACTTGTTACAGAAAAAAGCCATGATGTTTGCCATTAAACATTGAGATTCCTGCACATTTTCCCATTCTCCAATTCTGGGACCCTATTTTTCACTGGTGAAACTCCAACGAAAATCCACCCACGCAGAACCAAGGTGTCCGTCTTCGCGGAAGCGCCTGACGGGGTCCACACACCCACGGAGAAGGTGGCCTCACAGGCGAAGCAGTTGTTGAAGGCGGCTGCGCCATATGCCTTGGCTTCTTGCGCCGCACGAAACCTCTGAGGGATGCAGGTTGTTGGAGGTCGTTCTGATCCGGTTAAACCGGGATAAACCGGGTCACGGTATCATACCCTATGGATCCCTATGGATCCAAATACTTCCGGAGATACGGCTGGATCCATGGGAATATTTGTGTCATCTCTCCCAGAAAGCATGCCATTTTTGATTTACGAAAGGGTGACAGAAAATGATGGGAGAAGACTTGGCATAATTACCATGGTGGGAAATACATGGTTAGATCATGGATAGCTCAATGGACAGTTTAATGGATCTCTCCAAAAAACACTTTTCCCACATCAAATGTATATGTTCCTATCCAGTGGTCAGGATGGAGTTGTTTTTGGAGCTATAGGTATCCATTAAAAAAACGGGAAGCCAGGGAACTACTGAGAGTTCTCCAACTGCATAGGGCCACTTCTTGCTCCTTCTTCGCCTCCTTTGACTTGACCACGAGGCTGATGACTAGAGTCTGTGGCTACTCTGCGAGTCCTCAAGTCTCATATAGTCATAGTATAGCAACCCCAAAGCCTAGAAAGATGAGGTAAACATCATCGCCCTACCGTCTTGGAAAGAAGCTGGCTATTGTTTGGGGGTGCATTTATAGTTAATCACATGAATATTACATCCTACATCCACCATGCTTTCTTGGAGGTGTGAAACATACTTTTGGGCGAAGAGATCATGGATCCCATGAAGAATCCCTATCAATATATTTCAGAACCATTAAACCACCAAAAAACAACAGTTGTGGCCCTTTACCAGTTTCACAAGTCGCTAGCGGACCAGTAAGATATCCTCCCCATCCAAAAAAAAACATATGTCAACCTGATGAATCGCCAGTTTTTTTGTCACCATCAAATCACTATTACAATAATCCGTATTAATCAAGATTAAATCAACATTAATCAACATTAATTGATTTTCCATGGTGATTTTCCATGGTGATTATACCATCAATGATTCACATCCCAAATCACCATTCAAATCCCAAATCACCATTCAAATCACCGGACATGTCGTTTTTTTCGTCCCTTTTTCCGAGATCTCCCAGGTTTTAGCCTTCCCCGTCTATGCCGGCCTTTCCCCGGGCCGTTTGTTGGCCCTGGCACCGCTGGGCTCGGCGCTGCTGGCGGCCTGGCCCGCGAAGCCCAGCACCGCAAGGGCGGGGCTGATCTGTTTGGCGCCTTGGATGGGGAAGGGAGGAGTCCCACCATCAAAAATGGTGGCTTCATGGTGGTTTCATAGAGAAGGCTGAAAAATGCTGGTTTCATGATGTTTCATGGCTGGGATTTGATGCTTGAAAGGTGCAGAAACCATGGGATTTGTGTCACCATGAAAATGGTCGTTGAAAGGGAATTGAACCATGAGAAATAGAGCACATGTTGTAGTTTCATGGGAATTTCCATGGGTTTGAATGATGGCTTAAAGATGAAACCATGAAGATTTTGGAATTTAGCCATGACAAATTATGGTTTAGAATAGTGATTAAACGAGATTTCGTGAGGATTTAAGGGTGGTGTGATGGGATTTGCTTGCATCCAACCATCAAAACTAGTGAAACCACTAAAAATCGGGATTTCACCGTGCACAATGGATGTTTAATGTAGTTTAAAGGACTTATTAGCAGTTGAATCGGGGTGTAATGGTGAACACGTATATAATAGATGGCGAATAGTACAACAAGGCTTTAAACCACCGCAAAATTGTGTTTTGTTTCTTGTAAACGTGAACTCAAACGTGGAATTCACGTGCTTGCTTTAAACTCATGAAGGGTACCTGCAGGACATGCTGCCTTGTTTATAGATAACATGTTGTTTGTTAAACATTCTTATTGGCTAAATCGACATGTTTCTTGCTCAAACTGCTGAACATCTCAATTAAATCCCGATCATGTTTCCTAAATTCATATGAATCCCACAAAACATGTTCATTCGGAACCTGGAACCATGTGAACATAGTTTTCTCTTAATGGTTGTTCTAGATGTCAAAATCCTACTTTGCTCATCTTTTTTTTTCTTAAAATCATCATTTGAAGTCCCCAAAACCCACGGTGGTTGCCCCATTCCACTGAGGCGGCTTCGTCCTTCGTCTGCAGCGTGAGCCTCGCGGTGTTTTTGTGCCAGGTTTGTGGCGTGCTGCGCTTTGCCAATTTGGCGATCTCTGGCAACTGGGACAGCGGTCGGACAGGGTATGACAGGGGTCAGGGGCTATTTGTTTAACCAACTAATATATATATATATATATAATGTGATGATATGATATGATATGATGATATGTTTGGTTATTTATTTAAAACCAACTATAGAATAGATATGCTTGAAGGACATAGAATGGGAATAATTGAATATTACTGTAATAGGTATTTCATGTGGATATCATAGAATATAGAACTACCAGTAAAAATAACACAACAATGTAAGACAATCTTGTTGTGAAGCCAACTTATATGTTTTTACCGATAATGGACATATGTAATTATAATGGGAATATTCATGGGTATTGATAACACCATCATCTTAGTAGGAGTTTAAGGCTTTTGTTGGTCTTATTTGGATTCATTTATAATCATAGTCATCAGGATGTACGTGGAATATGCATTGTTTCAACATTATCTCTTAGTGCTTAATGGTGTATATTCTATCTATCTATCTTTGTATATATGTATATATATATACATAGTTTCACGGGGATCTTTTTATAACCATCAGGATATGCATTTTACCAGCCCTCGAACCGTGGAAAATCAAAACCTCATGCGGAGCAGCTCCTGAAATCCGTCGAGCTAACCCTTGGCCTTGAACCAATCAATTGAAAAGTAGATTACCATAATGGCCATCAATAGTTATTAGTAGTATTACCATAACATAGCTAATTTATCAATAGTTATAGGTATCCTTTGGTAAACCATAGCTAATAACTATTGAACATCTCCCATTGATGACTTGCCGTCTTGAAAAATCGTGATTTTCCACATGGTAGTTTACCTAGTTTACATTGGGAAATGTCACATGTTTCTGCGTAAACCTTGGTTCAGTAGGTTTGTGGCTTAAGGTTCTAAATGCGGGAAAAACTCGCCAACCGCCAATTAATGGAATGATCCAACTATAGTGGCTGGTGCTTACCGACCAAGAAAATATATGAAAATACAATGGTAATATCAAGGAAACGTAATGGTCTATGGGATATTTATGTCAGGAATGTGATCTCATTTGGTTGACTTTCAAATTTGATTGAAAATTAAATGGAAAATGATGGATAGACTGATTAGAATTTGGTTTACCCCGTACGCCACGCCGTAACAATGGTCTCTTGGTAAAATTTGAGGAAGGTTTAACGGTTTGACCATGAAAAATGAGCTTGAAGTGCTGCCTAATGAACACCTGGGCCCAAAAACAACTTACCTTGCTGGAAGTCAACCATGATGGTTTGCTGGAAAATCCACCATTTTGTTCGATGATTTCCCCTGCTATAAACTTCCAGGTTGGATGGGCTTTCCCAGCCATGTCTTTCATGTCTTGTTGGGTATGAAAGCCACCAGGTTTTTGGGAAGGGCCACTTCCACGAGCTTGCGCAGCTTACGCGTTTCCAAGGTTGCAACGCATACTTCACCCTGCAAATTCGAAGGTGGCTCAACAATTCCTTTGCACCTCGTTTCGAAGGGCAAAACGGTCAAACATGGCAATGGACAATCCCCACATTTATAGATTATTTGCCCATTACCTCCATAGGGGATTTCCCATTGCTATGTTTGATGACACCGGAGGGTCAGGGGTCCAGGGCCCTGCTTTCCAGCTGTGATCTTTCGACATCCTTTGACTATGGACCTAGCTTGAAATCATTGATCTGTTTTCTATCAGTGATCCACTGGGACTGTTTGAAGAATGGTCTTGAATTTGAAGCATTTTGAAACCAGATGAGACAAACATAGACAAATCCAGTCACACAGGAGTTGCTGAGTTCATGAATTTAGAGTTCCTATGTTCGAGTTGACTGCCGTTGAGTAGTCTCCCGATTTGGGGCTGTCAAGGTTGATACGCAAGATGGAATCAGGGCCAACACGGTCACTTGGAGTGCACTGCCAGGGCGTCGCCTCTGTGACCCAATATAATCCTGGTTGGTGGTTTGGAACATGTTTTATTGTTCCATATATTGGGAATAATAATCCCAACTGACTTTCATATTTTTCAGAGGGGTTGAAACCACCAACCAGAATCAATATATGTTGACTTTCTCGGAGGGAAGAGTGCCATGGCCACTGCTCATTCTCATGGGGGTTGCACAAAATACTGATAAATACTGGTAGCATGTTCAGGCATTTTGTACAGAATGACCAACTCGTCATGCCTTCAATGGTGGTTTGGGTTGGATTTTAGAATTCTGAAATCTCGCATGAAACTAATGATGAAGGTAGGTAAGGATGTGCCAGGATTCAAACTGCCAGCTCGCGGCTGACCTCATGTGACAGTGGTTTACATCAGAAATCGACACATGGAAAGGCATCTACTTTGCATTTGGTTCACAGAGGGTGTTTGACCCGTGGTAGGTCAATACTGGCAGGATCATCCCACTCTGCAAGTGGATAATCTCATGTAATAACATCTGGTTGGTGGTTTGGAACATGTTCTATTTTTCCATATATTGAGAAAGTCATCATCCCAACTGACTATATATTATTTTTGGGGTTGGTTGAAACCACTAACCAGATTAACCAGACATGTAATAACCATAGCCATAGTTATAATCCATTTAAATAACCACACACCGTGGACTGAATAGATCATCAGGGGCATCCTACATAAACCCCTGAATTCACCCGCGGGATGATCCTCCAACAAAAAGGCCAGGAATCCCCTATATGTGTGAGACGTGTGCATTACCATTGTTGGGATTTCTTGGGTTTACCACATTATCTCATTATCCCATATTTTGTTGCTCAAAATCCCCAGAACATTCCGTTTTAGCGGGCTAAATCTCGCTGTTGTTGCGTTTTGATCCTGTTCCTACTATTACATACTATTACCATCTATTCCACCTGGCTAATTTATCATATCAGTAGTGCTTCATAACTATTTGAACTATTTCAAGTCATGGAGTTGGTCACCGCTAGTCCGAGGCGGGTGTTCGGGTGATCATCATGCTCTCCGCCGTCCTCTACTTCTCCTCCGGTTGTTTGGTTGTGCTGTCTCCTGGCTGTGGCAAGGTCGAGGGTCTGGTGAGTTGGGTGTGCTGAAGCAGCATGTGGGGTGCCACAATTTCAAAGTTGGAGTGAGCCATGGAACCATGCGCACGATTCTTTGATGAAATGTCCAAAAATAGCAATTTGATGCAATTGGTTCTTTCATCAACTAAAGAATGGTGTGTTTTTTGCTTGCAACCGCGAGCTTTTGTTGAAACGATGGCAGGTTCTGGGTCGAGCGGAAGTCTGGTTGGTTTGCCATGGCGATATGTGTACTACCCAGTATAACAAACAAAACATGCAGGGCCAATGCAATTCAATGGTCATGATAGGTGTATAAATAGTTGTAATTGTTACTGTAGTTTGACAACTAAAATATATACTCTAAGATGCGGTTTGTAGGTATTTGAGATATTTGAGCATGTCAAAGGATGCGCTTTGAACACTGTCGCGACCTTCCGGGCAAGAGCATAGGGTTGAGCTGTTCAGGAATCTGTCGCAGCATCATGGCCATGAGGACACTTGGATGCGTTTCATCGGAGCGCTCGAGTGGCGAAATTCGGTTCCTGACCATTTATTGGATAAGCATCTCAGTTAATTAGCAAGGATCTGTAAGGATCAGTATATAAACCATAATTATGTTATTGGATCAGTATATAAACCATAATTATGTTTCCATAGATGACTGCAGGATCTCAAATTTATACTGAGTTGTAAACATATGAACTGGCCAGACACATCTGGGTCATGCATCCCGCATCCTCCAAGTACCTACTCGAGTGCAAGGTCAGTTCCCTGCCACAGGAGTCCCCAGTGGTCCCTCAATGAACGCTATGATGTAGATCCCCATCCAACTGCAGCAGTAATCAATGGAGGAATGGAGGCCCAGCTTGTAGAGATTCCATGTGTTGGCACATCGCCACTTCTTCATGGCACCAATGTCACCGAGAACAGATCCACCAATCAGGAGATTTCAAACATTCATCTGGTTGGTGGTTTGGAACATTTTTTATTTTTCCATATATTGGGAATAATAACCCCAACTGACTAGTATTTTTCAGAGGGGTTGAAACCACCAACTTATCATTGCTTGCGGGTTCCCATGGACAGTCGGAATCACCAATCGAGGGATTTAACAGAGGCGTGTCTGAAATCACTCAGAATCACCGCCAGAAATCTGGGTAAAGCTCAGATGGGTAGGATATGGTAGGACCATACATTTCATCCCCTAATCTTTGCCATTCAATGGGAACATTTCCCACGGTTTTTGTTTGCGAAATGCCATGGTGAAGCAGGCCATGATTTCAGCCAGGTCTGGACTCCATTGGGTGTTGCAGAACCCAGGCCCTGGAAGTTGATCGAAATCCAGTGCAGCTGTGGCTTCGAAATCCCCCTATCAATGGACCCCCCCAGGAGGTTCACCGAACTGGGCAACCACTTTTTGGTGTGGCCAGGCTCTATATATTGATTATCCATAGCGTGGGAATCATTGTAATGGGTACAGAAGAAATTTATTCAACATGCTTTGCATTTTATGTTTACAGTAACTCTTTTGTCAAATGTTGGCAGGTAAGATCCCTGGCATCCCATTATTAGGGCATGATATGGCATGATATCACCCTGAATGGTTATGAAAAAAGGTCATCCTATAGAATTGCTTCTAATTCCATGTGAATGACATAATCCCTGCTCAACTTGACTGAAATCATCCTCAAAGATTACAAAAATCCCATGGATCTTGTGCCGCCCCCTTTGTTGCTCCGGCCAGTGACACGTTTCTACCGACCTATTTGCTGGCCGTTTCCACCGCTCTTTCGATGGTGGCCTTGGGTTTTGCAGCCAATGCGTGCCTGGAGGCTGAGGAGCGCTGGGATGGGGTCGGGGAAAAACCGTTTGTAACATAGCCATGCAAAATGGCCCATTTATGATGGTTTACCTATGTTTACCTATTAAACATGGTGATTTTCCATGGCTATGTTAGTCATAACCAGATGGTATTTTCGCAGTTCACAGAGTTTTTCTCGGCCCTGAAGTTCCTGAAGGACATGAACTGTAGATGGTCTCCTAAGATTTGCTGAGTAGGTGCCGCACTGGACCGCCATCAGCAAATGACTAAGTGGATTTCACCATGTGGATTTGTGCCCACAGTTCCTTGACACAATCGTCGCAATTGTGTCATCATGTCAGTTCATATATAAAGAAGTATAAAGACATATACTGTAATATATAATGTATTATACATACACATTATTCAGTATATCCAAAGTATACTTACCAAGATCATTTCTATATGCCTTCACAAATTGTTTCCACATCTTTTGACAAGTCCCATACCAATCATCCCATTTGAGGAGCTCCACCAGCCGAGCCTGTGGGCCAGAGATGAAAAGGTGCCACGACTACTTCGGAGGATTTTGGCGGGAATGTAGCCATAAAAATGCTGCTTTACCCCATGAACATACCTTTTTCACACATTTTTTCTGGTGAATTTGGGAAGGTCTAGGCAGTTACCTCTGTTTTATTCGTGAAACATGGGGCCATATCGTACGGAAACGCAAACTCCCCAAACGATTGTCAACATGGCTTTCCAAAATGGTGAAATGACTCTGTCAGATTTTGGGACTGCGATTGTTAAGTAGACACCATGGTCCACTTATGAACTGGATCCGCAAGGATTCTTGGTATCCAACAGCATGTTCCTCTTCAGCTTCAGGCGGTTACCGTTGACATTGAACTTCATAGCTTTGTCTTGGGTTTGCTTCGTTTTGATTTGTAGACATTGTCGACTGTTCCCACTCGAAGAAAATCGATCTACATAGACGATCTCTGAGCAAACTCCAACTCATAAACAACATGGTGTCGAGTGTGGTTATATCGACCCATCCTGAATCATACAGCAAGAACTCAGAGTTGCAAATGGGTAAATGGGGCTATTCACTCACTTCTCCGGGTGAACCTTGCTTTGATTGTTGAATGGCTTCATTTCTAGCCATCTTGAGGGGGTTTCCATCACTTACCACTGAAAGATATTCATTGAGAAACGTGGCCATTTCTGGAAATGCTTCAACATGAAGGTGTTTTTGTTCCAGGAATCCTGTTTAACATGTTCAAAATAGAAGTAAAGTTAAGTGCATGTGTATGGCTACGTAAGTACATACATACATACATTACATTACATTACATTACATTACATTACATTACATTACATACCTACATACATACATATACGGTCCTACGGTCAGTTGCTCACTAGTCAGTAATAACCCATCCCTCTGACATTCAACAGGAACTGGGCCTTGTGGTAAAAGATATATGCACCATAAATTGGCCTATATAGATGGAAACCACAAACCCCACCGCCAGCCTAATTATTCTGACCAACGTCACTTACCTATCTACTTGATTCTACTTGATGGTTCTCGCCCCATTTGTAAACAAGTAGACTATAACCTAAGTCTACCCCAGTTCCCGTACAGTGGACGAAACCAACAAAATCCCATGGCAAAGTGGTGTCCCCTCTAGTTCTGAGATTGGTTTATCAATCCTAAGATACCCAACTAGTTCAGCATAAACCAATATTACATAATATTACCACATGAACCCATATAGACCATATATGCCCATATAAACCCATAAGAAAGCCATATAAACCCATATAAACCCAGTGAACTCCCCAAGCTCCGGCTACCAGGTGCCACCGGCGAAGTTGCCCCGACGCTGTCGCGTCCCATGGCTACTGCGGCTGAGCAGCTGGTGCAAGTCCTGGCGCTTTCGGTGGGGATCCCTGGAGGGCTTCAGAAAGTACCCCATAGCTGGGTTTTGTTGAAGATGTTGATCAGAAAATCGATGGATGATGGGGGTATTCTGCTGACAGGGAAAGACAAAATGACTCAGGCTTTGCGAGGTGGATAGCCATGGAATATCAGCATTTTGCAGATGAATTATCATCTAATATCATCTCATCTGTGAGATTCTATAAGTGATATAAATGGGTCATCCATTTTCCGAGGTTACCTCGATGGTTTTGTTAATTGGCTAAACCGTCGACCGTTGGGTTTTAGCAGGATCTCTAAGCTGGAGAAACCGACTGGATGGGCACTCCAATATAGTATCAATATTTTTTTGTGTACATGTTTTTCAAACTTTGACCAATTTCACCAATATAAAGCCCGTTTTTCTTTTCGTATATAGTATACCTTAGATTCTTACTCTCAGTGATTAGTAGCCACTCAATCGAGGCACCGGCCAGGCATTTCCTCTTCTTGGCCAGTGCCTTGTATGACTCCTACACTTTCTACCGTGGTTTGCAAACCTCCAAGAAAGCCCTGAGTCTCCTGGCATCCTTGGCCCTGCGTTTTGTCTGATCAATTTGGGTGGCAAGAAATGGGAGATGCCAGTGATTCTGGTAGGGTAAATGATGAACCAATGTAATTTGGATCTGAGAACAGCAGACTTGCTCCCTGGCAAGTGTAATTGGGAAAGGATTGTGTTCAACTTTTCAAGGTTTGTTTCTTGTGGATGCCTTATTTTCAGACGAAACTTATTCACAAGTCGGACCAAAGCCTGTGGAATCCACACCACAGACGGGATCACCTAGATGTTTTTTGCGTGAGTTGGATTGTTTTTTCACGCATCCAAGTACAACAAAATATCATCAAATATCCATATTGGATCAATGAACGAGTTGGGCAATATTTGTTTACCCTCAACAAGTCATTTGCTTGCGGATCATATGCTTGCTTTGATACGGTAGCTTCAATGACCATTTCGCTTGGCATTGTTATATATATATATATATACATAATGGATCCGCCAAAACCTCTTCGTATAGTTCAGCGCAATCCCTGTCCGAACCATTTTGTTATGCTGTAAATTCCAAGGCTCACAGATGTACGACTTTGCAGCGCAGCCTGGACTTCTGTGATGTAGGATTTAATTTTCTATTTGTATGTTGTGTTTTCTTTTAAGGACTTGTCAGGTCCTTGGAGGCATACTAAACAACTATTTGCAAGGTCTGTGGGTCCGACTGTGGGGAAAGTCTCTGCAAGACTGCACGCGATTGATAGATTCCAGGTACAAGCTGAGGCATGTATATAGGTTTTCCTGAAAAGTTGCTGAAGATGAAGATGAACATTTGGCACGTTGTACCTCAATTTTGGATACTGTAAGATACCTGAATTGGCTGTTGACCTATTGTGGCCGATTCACAATGCTACTTCAGTGTCCCTTAGGGGGATTCGCTGTAAAGGTAAGCGGTAAGCGTCACCAAAGGTTGTCTATCCCCTAGCGTGGGCCGAGCATCCACAATATTGTTGAGGACTTAGGACATTCCATTTAAACTGGTTGGTGGTTTGGAACATTTTGTATTTTTCCATATATTCGGAATAATCATCCCAACTGACCAATATTTTTCAGAGGGGTTGAAACCACCAACCAGTATAAATGGGTTGGAAACACTCTTACTGACCGGCTACTTGGTAAAGTGATCTTCCAAGTAAACCTCGGTGTGGAGAATGGTTTGATTTCCAGCCATCAAACCACCACCAATTGTCTAATCATGAAGTATCATGAAGTCATTGTAGGGTTCCAGGCACAGGTTTGCCACACATATCCAAATATTATATTCACCTTCCTCTTAATGTCCAACTAACAAATCCACCCTGCCATGTTGTGGGCTTGAAATCCTAGCCAACCTTGCGATGAGCGCTTAAAACAATATGTTGTTTCAACGTTAGTTGAGGGAATGATGCCCTCCGGCAGTTATAGGAGTTGTTTTCCCAATGAGGTGATCATTCCATCAATGGGGTGATTTACGGACTTGGAGGTTTCCTGACATGGGGGTACCCCCAAATCATCTATTTTTATTTTCGGATTTTCAATTATAAACCAACCATTTGGGGGATCCCCCATCTATGGAAACCCCCACTTCAATAACTCCCTGGGCACTTCGACTGCCGAGGATCTTGTTCTTTGCCCTCTTCACCGCCTCGATCAACGCAATGGCCCTGCTGTTCTCCGGCGAATCCGGAAGGATAAGCCAGAGGGCTGAAGTTATAACCCCAGAGATGGAAGGATAACCATTTATAGAACCATTTATAAGCATGTAATATTACCCACAGACACCGTGTGTTGCCCAGACCCACAACTGACACGTTAGATGTTGTTTGATGACGATGATGATGATGATGATGATGATGATGCCGCTGATGATGGTGATGATGATGATGATGATGGTGAGGATATCATTATCGGCAACACGCGGTGGCTGTGGGCTATTTTCTCAGATATGGAAGATATGGAATCTAACATGTAAGATATCTTAATATCATCATGAGGTATTAAAATCCGCCACCCCCTTGAACTCTATATTGATATGGGATCTAACATGTAAGATATCTTCATATCATCATGCGGTATTAAAATCCGCCACCCCCTTGAACTCTATATTGATATGGCATCTAACATGTAAGCTATCTTCATATCATCATGAGGTATTAAAATCCGCCACCCCCTTGAACTCTATATTGATATGGGATCTAACATGTAAGCTATCTTCATATCATCATGAGGTATTAAAATCCGCCACCCCCTTGAACTCTATATTGATATGGGATCTAACATGTAAGATATCTTCATATCATCATGAGGTATTAAAATCCGCCACCCCCTTGAACTCTATATTGATACGGGATCTAGCATGTAAGATATCTTCATATCATCATGAGGTATTAAAATCCGCCACCCCCTTGAACTCTATATTGATATGGGATCTAACATGTAAGATATCTTCATATCATCATGAGGTATTAAAATCCGCCACCCCCTTGAACTCTATATTGATATGGCATCTAACATGTAAGCTGTCTTCATATCATCATGAGGTATTAAAATCCGCCACCCCCTTGAACTCTATATTGATATGGGATCTAACATGTAAGATATCTTCATATCATCATGAGGTATTAAAATCCGCCATCCCCTTGAACTCTATATTGATATGGGATCT